CGCCCTCGCCGCCCTCGCCGCCCTCGCCGCCCTCGCCGCCCTCGCCGCCCTCGCCGCCATCCCCCCCTCCTTCCCTTTCCCCTTCCCCCTTTTCCAGGGACGAGAGGCGCCCTCGGCGACTCTTGCCCGTCGCTCGCCGACCTGGCGGCGAGGCTCTCCTCCCACCCCATGTCCCTCCCCTCCCTCATCTTCCCGCTCACCCTGCTGCTCGCCTCGGTCCTGCCCGGCGGCGGCGGACCCGGCGGCGGCGGCGCGTGCACGGGCGGCGTGGGGCGCGCGAGTGGCGTGGGGCGCGAGGGCGGCGCGGCGGGCGAGGGCGGCGCGGCGGGCGAGGGCGGCGCGGAGGGCGAGGGCGGCGCGGGGGGCGAGGGTGGGGCGGGGGGCGCGCCTTTGCGCCGCACCGCCCCCTCCGGACCGCAGAGCTACTTTCTCTCGGCGATGCTTGTCTGTGGCTCGGCGGTGCTCGCGCGGCAGTCGGGGCCCCGCTTCGCCGCCGTCGGCGGCGAGACCGCCATGAGCACGCTCGTGCGGCGCGCCGTCGCCGCGGTGATGGTCGCTTGCTCCATCGGGCTCACCGCCTGCCAGCTGGGCGGCTACGTCCGCTCGCCCTTCCTCGTGATGCGCGTCTGCTCCGGGTGGGTCAACGGCGCGCGGGCGCCCCTGCGATGCGGAGCACCCACATCTCCCCACATCTCCCAAGATCTCCCCAGATCTCCCCTGCGATCCGGAGCACCCTCCCGCCGCACTGCCCCGTCCTGCCCCGTCCTCCAAACTAGCGATGGCACACACCTCCCCCAGCTGTGCGCCTCTGGCTGCATCGCATAGCCACTGGTACTCGCAGCGCCACCCTCCCCACGGGATGCGGCGCAACGGCGCTGTGCTCGCACGCTCAGGCTTGTGTATTCGAGACCTCCAGGCGCCTGCTACGCGGCGCACGTGCTGTGGCTCGCGCAGCAGCCGGACCGCTCTTTGTCGCGCGAGTGCGTCGCCCACGCCCTCCTCTCCGACGACGCTCTCCACCCCTCCTCGCTGGCAAACGAGACCTTCGGAGCGCTGGACTTGCCGCGGAGAGAGGGGGCGACGCGGCTCGGCTGGACCGATTGCGACCCGCCGCCGTCGCTGCTCGACGCGCTCCCCGGCGCGTGGTTCATCGCCGTCGCGAGTGTCTTCACGCCGAGGGTGCGGGCGGCCATCCGCGAGAAGGTGGTGGGCGGCGGCGGCTGGAGCCGCTCGCGGGCGGGGCTCCTGGGCTGAGTCATCCCCTCGCGCGCTTGTGTTACGTTGCGCGTCGTGCCCGGAATCGCGTGTGACGAGAGGGTGACAACAATTCATACGGTTTTTTTTAGAGAGCGACGCCAATCGCGACGTGTCTCCGCGAATCTCGACGTCCCCCCTCGAGCGCGCGCCGTCCGGGACGGACCCGGGACCCGCGCGCGATCTTCGGAGGCTCGGAGCTCCCGCGGCGCGGGCGGGAGCTATACCGCCCCACTTTACACTTACCGTGGAGATAGCAGATACACATACAGTTACAGACGTCTCTCGTCCGTCGTCTCTCGACATGACGACATCCCCCATGCAGCGTGTGTGTGCCAACCCCCGTCCCGCGACTCGCGCTCTCTCGGACGGCGGAATCTAAAAAAAAAACAGCCATGCCGAGCCGGGGAGGGATCAGGGAAAGGGAGAACCTGTCGAAACGCGTTTATGTTATGTAGCACCGACCAGGTTCCGCGCCGCGAACTTTGGCGGCTTCCAGGCCACCTCTCCATTCCGCCTAATGTAGTCCTCCTCGTACTCCTGGTAGTTGCCCTCGAACCAGACCCACTCGGCGTCGCCCTCCGCCGCCAAGCTGCGCGGGTATAGACTGTATACTCAAGGAGGTGTGTCACACAATAGGGCGCCTATTACCCTTACGGATTCTACATCGCTTTACGAAGCCTGATGGCCGCAAAACATTGAGTTGGTTCGGTTTCGTTGAAGCAGCAGGCACGTTGCCCGCCGGACTTGAGCACCTTGGCAAGCTGCACGCGGTTGCGCTCGCCGCCCGACAGCTTGGAGAGCGGCTTTTGCTGCGCCTGGTGGGCGTGCGCGTGCAGAGAGAGGGTTCGGGGGGAGAGCTCCACGGAGAATGGGCCGCGTGTCGAGGGGCCACCGCCGCACCTGGCCGGTGAAGCCGAACCACGAGCAGTACGCGCGCGAGCTCACCTCTTGCGTGCCTGCGGGGGGCCGTCCGGCACGGCTCAAGGGAAGGGTGGGTCAGAAAGCCTCGCCTCCCCCAGGAGAGTGCCGAGGGTGATCGTGTCGAGCCCGGCCGAGAGCTCCTCAAAGACGGAGTTGTCGCCCTGCAGCGACTCGCGGGACTGGTCGACGCAGATCATCTTGACGCTCTCGCCGACGACGAGCTCGCCCTCGTCCGGGGCCTAATTAGCTATTCATTGGGAGCTAATGGAGGAGTTAATCAGGAGTCTAGTAGCAGCTCGCCCTCGTCCGCGGCCTGCTCGCCGGCCAGCATGCGCACGATATGGGGAGACATGGGGAGATATGGGGAGATATGGGGAGATATGGGGAGATATGGGGAGATAGCGGCCTGCTCGCCGGTCAGCATGCGCACGAGGGTCGTCTTGCCCGCGCCGTTCGGCCCGACCACGCCGACGATGCCGCCCGGCGGCAGGGAGAAGGTGAGGCCGTCGATGAGCGTCCTCTCGCCGAAGCCCTTGCGCACGCCCTTGGCCTCGACGACCTGCTTGCCGAGGCGCGGGCCGGGAGGGATGTAGATGGAGGCCGAGTGCGACAGCTCCTCCTTCTGCGGCGCGTCGAGCATCTCCTCGTACCGCGCGAGCCGCGCCTTGGACTTTGTCTGCCGCGCCTTGGCGCTCGAGCGCACCCACTCCAACTCGCTCTGCAGCGTCTTCTGCAGCCGCGAGTCCGCCTGTGCGAAGGGTCCGAGAAGGCTCCGAGAGGGTCCTCAGAAGGCTCCACCTTGCGGCGTCCTCTGCAGGCGCGAGCCCCATATCTCCCCATATCTCCCCATAACTCCCCATATCTCCCCATATCTCCCCATATCTCCCCATATCTCCTCTGCAGACGCGGGCCCGCCTTGCGCTCTTGCCGCATCGCCTCCGCCTTCTGCTCGAGCCACTCGGCGTAGTTGCCCTCGAACGGCTTGCCTTCGCCCCGCTCGAGCTCGAGGATCCAGCCGCACGACTTCTCGAGGAAGTAGCGGTCGTGCCTGTTCGCAGCGGCAGGTGTGAGGAGACGCCGTTCAGAGCCGCACGACTTCTCGAGGAAGTCGCGGTCGCGCGTGATCGCCACACGTCCCTTGAAGCCCTCGAGGTACGACTGCAGCCACGCCGAACGCCTTCTTGCGGCCGTTCGGAGGGTTGCGTTTGGTCCGGCTCGTCGAGCAGCAGCAAGTCGTGCCCCTCGAGCAGCAGCCGCGCCTGGAAGAGAGGCGTGCCCGAGAGTGACCCGAGATGCACCCGACCAGAGCATGCCGTGTGCCCTCGAGCAGCAGCCGCGCCAGCGCGACGCGACGCCGCTCCCCTCCCGACAGCGTCGTGACGTCCGCCTGGCAGCGGTTTTATTTTTTCTGTGAGCGGACGCCTTGCGAGGCGCCCATCGGAGGTGTGGCGGGTGTGGGGGTGTGGAGGCGAGGAGGGGCGGTGCAAGCCTCGGAGTGGCGGGCAGCACGGCTGTCTGTGGCGGAGGTGTGGTTGTGTGGAGGTGTGGAGGGGTGTGGAGGGGTGTGGAGGGGTGTGGGCGTGTGGAGGGGTGTGGGCGTGTGGAGGTGTGGCGGGTGTGGGCGTGCGGAGGTGGTGTGAAGGTGTGGCGGGTGTGGAGGTGTGGCGGGTGTGGTGGGTGTGGCGGTGCAAACCTCTGGGGGCGGGCAGCGCAGCTGCTGCATGGCTCGCTCGACAGTTCGGTCGAGCTCCCACAAGTCCTGCGCCTCGATCGTCTCCTGCACTCGCCCGAGCTCCGACAGCGCCTCCTCCATTTCCTCGTCGCTCAGCGGCTCGCAGACCTTGGAGCAAAGGAAGACGTCAAGATGAGCCGAGATTGGCCGAGATTAGCCGAGATGAGAAGACGTCAAGCTCGAGGCGAGAGGGGGGCCCTTACGCGTACGGGTGAGGAGGGGGCCGGCGCTGCGGCGAGCCTTTGCGCTGAGCTGCTCAAACTGCTGCAGCGTCGCCCGCCCCTGCGCCACGCCCGCGTCGATCGACTCCTGCACAGTGGCGCCGTCGAGCTCGGGCTCCTGCGCCAGGTAGCCCACCGACGCCCACGGCGCCGGCGTGCACTCCCCGTCGTACTCGGTGTCGACGCCCGCCATAATCTTCATCAGTGTCGACTTTCCGGCGCCATTCAAGCCGACGAGGCCGATCTTTGCGCCGGGGAAGAAGCAGAGGTTGATGTTCTTGATGAGCGTGCGCGAGCCGTCGGGGAGCGCCTTTGTGAGCTTGAGGATCGTGTAGATGAAGCTCTTTGTCTGCTCCGCCATGCGGCTGTCCTTGACGCTCTTCTTCTCCTGCTGGCCCTGCTGCTTCTTTCCGCCCGCCTTGAACTTGTTATCGCCCTTCGGCTTGCCACCCTTCTTGCCCTTCATCGTGATCAGGCCGCTGCGCTGCGATGACATGCGGTGTGGCGGCGCGACGGCCCAAGGCGGGTGAGCGCGATCACGCGATGATGGCTGCTCGCCGAAGGCCGGCGCCGGCTGCTGGCCGGAGAGCGGCGGGGAGGCGTGTGCCGCCAGGCGTGCGCCGCCGCCGAGGGAAGGGACGACGAAGGCGGCACACGCTGCGGAGAAGAGCATACGGCGATAGAGCGGCACCGGCTCTCGGCCCGCGAGGCGCGAGGTTCAGAAGAGAAAAAATATGCTTCACGAGAGCGATATGCCATGTCCGCCTTGCTTTGTTTCATAACATCGAAGGCTAAGCTCGAAGAAAATCCGGGTGAGCTGCCGACCAGGTGTCCCGAACCGGCCGTCTGCGCGGTTATCGGCAGTCAATTCTCGAGGCACGGTCTTGCCAGAGGCTACTGTAGGTGCCTCTTTTCGATGCGCTTGGGCTCCTCCGTCGTCGAGGGCGTACGTCATGGTGAGCTCGCTCGGCCGGGGTCAACCTCCGCGCGACCCTCACGCCACGATGGCACGTGGCTCGGAATCCATCAGTGTCAGAGCGCGAGACTACGCATCTCTCGCGCACTCAGCACGAACTTCACGCAGAACACCGGGTTACCGCGAACCGAAGGTCCATCCAGGCAGGCAGGCCGCTGCTATACCGCGAACACGAGTAGACATCCCAGGATGCGGTGTGGAGGTGCGAGTGAATGTGTGGACCGCGTGCGTGACCAGCGCGTGACGTGCCGTTCGTATCATCATCCAGCAACGGTGCCAAGCATATGAGCTGGAGGTAAGCGGCGACCACGGACCCCCGCCCTAACGTATTACAGTAATCCGGAGGGAGGGCACAACTCCTGGGTTCCAACTTTTTCCGGGGTGTGGTATGGTACCCTCACGGCCCAAAGGGTGGGGGGGTATGGTCCTGACCGCCTGCTGCCAAGGTGTCTCGAGGTGGGTTGCCTACGCTCGGAACCATACCATACCAAAAAGTCCGAATCCTCGCGGCTCATTTTTGATGGTGCGCACTCGACAGCAGGGCGTTCGTGCGGCCGCGGATGCGCTCGTAAGCAACGTCGATTGCTTCCAATCCGTCGCTGAGCACGTGCTGTTGCTGCACCACCTGCCCACGTACGCATCTTGGCGGCTCGCGTCGTCTGCGTGCCTGATGGCGTGGCGCAGCAGCTTTTATCAAAGTGAGCCGTGGCTGCATGTGTGGCCGCCCAAACTGGACTACGCGATCGCGCGGCACCGTACCCGTGAGGAGTTTGTCACGTCGGTGCGCAAGACGCGGCAAAACAAGGAGATCTTCGAGCACGTCGAGAAGTTCGCAATCTGCGAGGGTGACGCGTGCTGGGCGGCCCTCGTATCACGCCTCGACGCCCGCCGCAAGTCTGCCGAGGCGGTGTTGGACACGACGCTGGCCGGCGCGCGCCCCATGGCCATCCCCACTCTTGAGGATCTCGACCGCTTCCTTGTCGGCGCGTTCCGTCTCCACGTCGTCATCGAGCTCGTTGCGCAACTCACCGGCGAGCGCCCGCAGCATTCGCCGACTTCGAAGAAAAAGAAAAACGTTAACGAATAAAGCTTAAAGGCGCACCGGACCCACCTCGGACCTCGCTCAAACGGCGCGCTGCGCTGACAGCAGATAGAGCCGTACACAGGCCTGCGCTGAGGCTACACGCCTAACGCGCACACGTATCGCAGTCCCGTTATCAGCACTAAATCACCGTCGAAAAAAAGAAAGAAAACAACCCCAAGGGAGGGATGGGAGGACGGCACCGTCGCCTTATCTAGGAGCCCTTTTTCTTCTTCTCGCGCGCCCAGAATTCAAGTTTCATCGCCCGTACCCCCAGGGCCATCGCCCCGTACCCCAGCTCGGCCGGCCAGCATGTCCACGCCTTGGTACCAGCAAAAGCGCCAAAAGCAGAGAACGCAGCCGGAGCCGCCGGAGCCCCTCGACGCGAACTCCGGTAGCGACACCGAGCTGCAGGCTGACGATAGCGACGAGGGCGCCGCCGCGTCCCTCATCCTCATCGGAGCCCTCACCACCTCGTCTGACACCTCAGCGGAGCCCTCACGGCGCAGCTACACATTGCTGGGCGAGCGCGTGCTGATCCCAGCCATCCTCAAGAACAGCACGACGGGCTACAAGTGCGTGTCCTTCAGCCACCAGTATAAGAAGTTCAAGGCGCATGCCAGGGTTGGTGGCAAGCAAGTCCACCTCGGCTACTTCGACACCGCCGAAGAGGCGGCCTCCGCCTACGCTCGCTCGGCGTACGGCCGTGCCGACGCCGCCAAGCTGCTGCAGCCTCGCTCTGCTCCCACTGCCGCTGGCGCCGAGGCGATACGGCAGGCGGAGAGGGAGGGCCTGACTCTGGCCACCAGCAGTAACAACAGCACAGGCTACAAAGGCGTGAGCTTCTGCCCGAAAGGCAGCAAGAAGTACAAGCTGGCGGTGAGGGTTGGAGGCAAGCAGGCCACCATCGGCCGCTTCACCACCGCCGAGCAGGCGGCGCTCTTCCACGCCCGCAGGGAGGCGGGCAGGGACATGGTTGCGCTCTATCCTCAAGAGACACCGCCGCCGCCGCCGCCGCCGCCGCCGCCCGCGCCTTCCTCTGCTGCTGGCGCCGAGGCTGTCCGGCAGGCGGAGAGGGAGGGCCTGACTCTGGCCACCAGCAGCAACAACAGCACAGGCTACAAAGGCGTGAGCTTCACCCCGAAGCAGCAAGGCAGCAAGAAGTACATGCTGAAGGTGAGGGTTGGAGGCAAGAAGGTCACACTCGGCCGCTTCGCCACCGCCGAGCAGGCGGCGCTCTTCTACGCACGCAGGGAGGCGGGCAGGGACACCAGCGATCTCACCGCGCCGCCGCCACCGCCGCCGCCACCCGCGCCTTCCTCTGCTGCTGGCGCCGAGCTAGGCTGAATTAGAGCGAGTTCGAGTGGTGTGCGTACGGCGAGAGCCTCCAAGCTTGACTTTTCTTTGCAATTTGCCAACAACGACACCCACACGCCCGCATATCGTCCACCCACCCAGCACATGACCTCGAACCCACACCCCCTTGGGCCTTGCCAGCCTCCCTCCTCTGGCTCCTCCGCGCCGCCTTTCAGCCACATATGATAGAGCAGCCGCCGGTTAGCTCGCGATCTCGCTACGCCTTCTTCTCCGTGACGGTGCTTCTCGCGGTGCTGCTCGTCATCGTCTCGCATAGCCGAACAGCAGACTCCGGGGCAGCTCTGAAGACGCTGGGCGCCGACTCGGATGAGTCGGCGCTGGGCAGCATCGCACTCTTGGGAAGCCGCCTAGAATCCTTCAATCAGTGCATGGCTCTTCGAAACTCCTACTTCCTAAAGCTAGCCATCAACGAGTTTTTCGCGACGACGCTTTGGAGCGATATTGACCCCGAGACGCCGGATGCCTCCATGGATCGCGACCCGTTTCCCGAGCCGACCGAGCTGAGCGGGCCTCCGTTGGGATCCGGTTGTTTGCTCGCGTGTGCAGAGAATCTGGGCGGAGAATTGCGCACGAACTGGCCGCAAGCCCTGTGGAGCCTCGGCGGCTGGCTGGGGGCAGCGAATGAGACGACCAACTGGCTGGGCTCGGCGCTGGGCGGCTCTAGCTGCGGGGAGGTGCATACTATTCACGACCTCGGCGGCTCGATTAATGGCGTCCAAGGACTCGAACTGGTCGACCTCGACGTAAGTCCGGGGCATTCATGTCACCCCGCTGCGACGGCCTTCAATGTCATGGGCCGCCTCACGCTCGCCGTCGGGGCGGGGGCGCCCGATTTCGGCTCAGCGCTGGGAAGTGCGATTGACGAGGCTCTCCTGAGCCGGCGGAAGCGGCGAGGCGAAGGTAAGCTGGAGATTCGTTCCGCTGTGGCTTCTCACTCCGTCTGCAAGATTGGAGGCGATGCGCGGCCCAACGCCTCGTTGGAGGTGGGTCCTCTAACGCTGGGCGCGTGGCTATACAACGTCACCCTCTCCTCGAGTTTCGCCATGTCCATCGCGGCATGCTCTGTGACGAGCATCAAGGTCAGCGATGTTGATGTGGGCTGGGAGGCGGCGTCGGTAGGGCACCGCGCAGGTCGGGACATCCGCGGAGACGCCCCGTTTTCGTCCGTGCGGCTTGGGGCATACGGCGGCGGCTTGGGGCGTGTGTTCGACGACGACGACGATGAAAGCACCGATGACAATGTCCGGGAGGCCGACTTGTGGGCGTCGGTGCAGAGCTTTGACCCGGGCGCTGCCATGCGCACTCTCGATGGGCTATACATGCGGCCGCAGATCTCGGCGAGCTTGCAGTCGGCACTGAACCGGATCCTTTCCGATAGCCTCCCCCAGCAGCTCTGCGACCGTGGGTCAGCCGAGGGCATGGGCGAGTATGCCAACAAGCTCGCCACGTCGTCTTCGGCCGCGGGCGCTGGACTCAAGGCAGGGTTCGGAAGCCGCTTCACGCGCCTATCAAAGGCGGGCGCCGAGCTTCGAGGCGCAGCCAGCACAGGCTGGCAGCAGAATCAGCAGAATGTTGCAGAGGGATGGGCAGACGTCCGCAGGGTGGCCTCGTACACGAGCTTCCTCGAGCACGTGCAGCTGTTCAAGCAGCTCTCGAAGATGCAGCGGGACAGGCTGGTCGGGTCGCTCGAAGAGGTTGTGTACCAGCCCGGTGAGGACATCATCACCGAGGGCGAGGTCGGCACCCACTTCTACCTCATCGTCGAGGGCCAGGTCTCCGTGACGAAAGCAGGGCAGGAGGGCGTGCTCGCGCGTCGCTCGACGGGCGACTACTTTGGAGAGCGCGCGCTAAGGACGGGCGAGAAGACGACGGCGACGGTGAGCGCGACAGGCGCTACGCCTGTTAGGCTCGTGCGGCTAGACCGGTGGGCCTATGAGCATATGCTCAGCCCGGTCGACGATCTGCTCCCACTGCGCAAGTACTCGTCTCCACCGACAGCCCCGCCGCTCGCTGCACTGCCCACCAAAGTTTGGTGGAGTAATTGACGCTGACGGCAGAATGGGGAGGTAGGGGGAGGCCCCCGGTCACAGCGAGACGTGCGCCGCCGCGGAGAGACGACACTGCGCGGGAGGGAGACCGCCGCGAGTTTTGTGATTCCGTGCTCAAAGTAAATAATCGGGCCGTGACTAGTCGTACGGATAGCAACACTTCCTCTCCCCCCGGACGCTCACACCTCTGGCCAGTCCTCCTCCTCCTCCTCCTCGTCGTCCTCGCTCGCGGCGCGCATCTTCAGCTCGAGCAGCGGCCCCACCTTGTCGACCTCCTCCTCGCTCGGGATCACAAAGTCCGTGAGCGACGCCTGCCGCCCCACCAGCACGAGCGGCGCGCTCAGCGCCATCACGAAGTACTTGCCGCCGCCGCGCGAAAAAGCGCCCACCACGTCTCCGGCGTCCGCGTCGTCCTCGTCCGCGTCGTCCGCCATGTCGAGCTCGTCGTCGTCGGCGAGGTCTCCGGCGATCGAGTCCTCGCCCGCGTCATCGATCGCGGTCTCGACATCGCCCGATAGCGTCAGCGTGAAGGCCGTGTCGAGCAGCTCGAGCCCGTACTCACCGCACGCCCGCCGGGCGGCAGGCAGCAGCTCGCGGATCGCGCCTGGGTCCTCGACCTCCGCCAGGACGCCCTGCTCGGCGTCGAGCGTCGCGAGGATGGCGGGCGTGTCGCGCGGCAGCAGCGAGGCGTACAGCTCGCCGTCCAGCTCGGCCGTCTCCATCATCGAGCACTCTATCCGCTTGCCCTCGCTGCCGTCGAGCAGGCTCACCTGGAAGGACTCGCCAGCATCGAGCTCGGCCGCCACAGCCGCACGCGACGGCGGCGGGCAGCCTCGCCGCACAGCAGGGGAGTGCCTCGCGGCAGGGAGCAGCCCGGTACTGCCCAGGGCAAGCATTTTCCGTACCCGGTACTGCCCGAGGCTTCCAGTGCTACTACATGAAAACTACCTAGCCTTTTTTCTGGGGCCCTACAGTCATATGCCTACGGCGTCTGGGTGGGGGTGGCCGGCCAAACAGCCATACAGCCAAACCTCGCCGCGACAAAGCCCACGAGCAACGCCTTCCTCTCCCAATGCACACCGCGGTGCGCCACCTTCCCCGGGGCCTCCCGCGACGCGCGCACGCCCAGCGGGAGCCCTCGGCCCTCCCGTCCGTTCGCCCGCATCGCCCACCCGCGCCCGGGGCCGCGGGGGGGAGCCCAACAACATCACACCTGCTGTTTTTCTCACTTTTCACCCTTCGGCCCCCTCGCGCGACGCCGGCTGCAGCAGGAGCAGCTGCAACACGCGCCAAATGGCGGCACCGACCCCCTCGACGACCACTCCAAAACTGAGCCTGATGCGCTTCCGGTGCGCCGAGCCCCGAGCCAATTCTGAGAGGTACAGCGCTTGACGTGGGTCTCGAGCCTCTCTCGCAGCCTCCGCCCAGCCCTCCCATGGCCCTCTCCTTCGCCTCCCTGGCGCGCAGAGCGTGCCCCCACACCGGGTTGACCGCCCGCGTCCGCCACAGGCCGCGCTCGATGGCGGCGAGGAGGTCAGCGTCAAGACCATCAAGCACGACACCCTCGCAGCGTAGTGGGCCGCGCCATGGATCGGAGCCTTTCCTCCTGACCCTGTTAGGCGGAGCTGCTCCCCAAGCTGTGCAAGATGCTCAAGCTCAAGCCCGATGAGCTCACCAAGCCGTTTCGCAGCATCCTCCTCAAGATCCTCGCCCACAAGTCCGACGAGACCGACGACTGGCTCGACGCTCAACTCGCTGCTGCCGGCACCGACGGCTCCGACATTGCTTGGCGGCAGCTCGTGTCGTGCTCGGGCGGGTCCGAAAAGGAGGCGCTACTGCTGCTCAAGAAGTCCCGCATCAACTTCTCCCTCCGGCTGCCCGGCGGAAAGCTCGCCTACCTCACGGGCACGCTGCCGCCGCTGCCACAGGCGCTGACGGGCGGCCTGCTCCGCGGCCCCAACGGAGAGTTCGACCCGGAGCGTGAGGGCAAGCATTTTGCGTTCGAGGCACTTTCCAGCGCCTGATTTCTTCTCCCGCCGTGGGTTAAACAAGCAAGTACCGGTAGGCGTCCTCTTACCCTCGGCCCCAGTGGGGGGCGCCCACGCCGCCTAGCTCCGCGGACGGGCCCCTCCACCCTCACGTACGGATCACGTAGTCACCACTAAGGGCGTCTACGCCCTTATCCCCACAATCGCTGTCGTGGGATCGCTTGTCATGAGAGATTTTTAGAAGCCAACAAGAAATGTGTCATGTGAGAGAGTGCGTTGTGTTCTTGTTTTGTATGCGCTTTCTCTTTTTCCTCAGAAATGTATATGTCCAACTTCGTCCGCTTTATCTGTCTTTTTTTGTTGTGCTGGAGTTATCAGCTGTGACGTGTGCGACAAGGTACCTGATCCTGCGGCACAGCCCGCTGCCCATCGACATGGCTGCATTGCTGCCACGATCTGGCCACGACCCACGATTGCGGGTGCTCGATGGGCCTTCTCGGCAGCAGGTTGTCTCGATCGTAGGCTGCTACTTCGCCGTGCGGACTGCTCCTGCTCATATGTCGAGAGTCACGGGAGCGCGAGCGTGATCATGGCGAAGCGAATTCTTTTTATTTCAGCGAGCGAAGACGGTCGCTGGGTGGGCGCCTCCCTCCAGCTGGTTGGGCGGGTCGCCGTATGGAGGGAGCAGGTGGTGCGGGTCGAGGCGTCACGCGAGGAGGGGAAAGCAAAAAGTGAGGACTCGTTCGAGGAAAGGCCACCACCACACAGGAAGCGGCGAAACTTTTGCCGCGAATTTACTTGGTTTACCCGGGCTGGTCAGTTGGTGCGCGCCGCCGGGTTCGCAAGACCGCCGTCTTGGTTCGCGCGCTGTGGCCGCGGTGCATGCCCAAAAACGGCGCAACTGTGGCTGACAGCGGCAGCTCGCCGGCCGCAGCCACGCCCGACAAAAGCAGGCCGGCGGCCGCCAGTACTGCAGCAACAAACGGCAAGCGGCCATTCGCTTCGGCGCCGGCTGCCGCCGCTGCCGCCGCTCCGCCTGCCGCCGCCCCGCCGTCCTCCTCCCGCGACGATTCCAGCTCTCCGCCCACGCTGGCGCCTGCGCCGTCCGGCTGCAGCTCGAGCTCTGGCGCCTCGAGCAGCGACGCGGCGCTGATCGACGAGGAGCCGGCTGCCGCGGCGGCCGCCTCCGGGCCGGCCGCCGGGCCTTCAGCAGGGTCCTCTGCAGGGCCATCGGCTGAGCTAGCCGACGGAGCAGCGGAGGAGAGAGCAGCGGAGGAGAGAGCAACGGCGGAGGGAGCAACGGCGGAGAGAGCAACGGCGGAGAGAGCAACGGCGGAGAGAGCAGACGAGGAGGGAGGAGCGGAGGAGAGGGCTGAGGAGGAGAGGGCTGAGGAGGAGAGCGCTGGCGCGGGGCGCGGTACATCCGATGCGGCGCGCTCCGCCGCGGCGCTGGCGCGGATGCTTCTTCTCACGTGCCGCTCCCGCGCCTACATTCTCGACCGGCGCGCCTTTCTGCGGGTGCGCGAGAGAGACACCTCCCGACAGACAGACGCCCCGAGAGACCTCCCGAGACACACCTGACACCTGGCGAAGGCACACCTCGCGAAGGCACACCTCGCGAAGACACGTCCTGCCCTCCTCGCACACGCCGCGCCCTCTCCCCTCCGGCACCGCACCACCGCTCCGCTGCTCTCGACAGAGATTGACGCCCCCGCCCCAGCTCCCGCCCAAGCCTGGCCTGCCTCCGGCCTGCCCCGCGCCTTGCCCCTCCCACCTGCCCCGCGCCCTGCCTGCCTCACACACCCCTGCCCGCCCGCCCGCAGACTCCGCTCGGCGAGCAGCGGCTGCAGAGACGGCTGGCACCGCGGCCTAGATGCGCAGCAGCACGGCCTCCTCGCGGAGCAGACACGCCCATGAGCAGACACGCGGGAGCAGTCTGCACTCTTCCGTCTTCCGCCGCCCTGCAGCCTCGTTCCGCCGCAGACGTGGCCCCGCACTCGCGTGGGGGTGGACAGGCTGCACGCCAACCCCCCCCCCCCCCCCTCCTCGTACCCCAGGCAGCGCAGCAGCCCGCGGCGGCGTCGCACCGGCATCCGCCGCCGCCTCAGCAGCGCATGCAGCACCCGCCGCATTCGGCGCAGCGCGTGGCCGGGCAGGGCAGGCCGCCGCCGCCGCTGCCGTCGCACGGGCAGGCCATGCGGCACGGCTTCTCGATGGCGGGGCCGGCCATGGCGGGGGTGGGCATGGCGGGCATGGCGGGCATGGCGGGGGCGGGCATGGCGGGGGCGGGCATGGCGGGGGCGGTCTACATTCCTCCGGCCCACGCGGCGGAGCACCATCCAGCCGCGCGTGTCGTACCGCCGCCGCTGGGGATGCATTTCGCGCAGCCGGTGGCTCCGCACGCGGTCTTTCCTGCTCTCGGCACCCGCACGCGCTACACGGCTCTCGCCTTCTCGACGGGCGGCTTTCTTTTTTCGTAGGCGCTCCCGCACGCGGCGCAGTACGACGCGGTGTCGCACGCAGCGCCACATAGAATGCTGCACACATGCCCTCTCCCCATTCATCAGCAAGCCTTCGCCATGACGCGCGTGCCGGCTGTATTCCGCTGCACCTCAGCCGCACTTCAGCCGCACTTCAGCCACGTCCACCGTCTTTGCAGCCTCTGGATTTGCGCGAGGCGCAGGTCAGCGGTGCAGAGTTCCGTACTCACACTTGGGCTCTGTGCAGGTGCCGCAAGGACCCATCACGGCCGCCGCCCACCACGCAATGCTCGCGCGGCGAGGGTAATGCGACGCTTCCGAGACACGTCCAAGACACGCCCCTTCCCCCTCCCCCCTTCCCCACTCCTGCCCCTGACACACGCACACGCCCCGTCAACACCTCCGCCTCCGCTCTGCCCGCGCCCGCGCCGCCCTCGTCACGTCGTCCACTGACACGTCCACTGACCCGTCCACTGACATGTCCGTTGACACGTCCGTTGACACGTCCACCGACACGTCACGCCCGCGGACACGTCCGCCGACACGTCCACGACGCGACCGCAGGTACCCTCCTCCGCCCCACTTTGCGGGCGCACGGTCGGCCGCGTGCGGAGACGGGCTCGGGCGAGTCTGGGGGCACGGGCCGCAGCAGCAGCAGCAGCAGCAGCAGCAGCAGCAGCAGCAGCAGCAGCAGCAGCAGCAGCAGGGGTGGAGGGCGGCAGCTGAGCACGCGCTGCACCAGCATGGTGCTGCGCTGCATGCTTTTGCTGGCCAGGCGAGAGAACCCGAAGCGGCTGGCGTGCTCGGCCGCGCGCGCGTGCTCGCCCAGCAGCAGGAGGACGCCCGGTCCATGATGGTCGAGAGGCAGCAGCAGCTGCAGCGCCAGCAGCAGCTGCAGCGCCAGCAGCAGCAGCAGCAGCAACAGCCGCAGCAGCAGCAGCAGCAGCAGCAGCAGCAGCAGCAGCAGCAGCAGCACGGGATGAAGCGACCCTTCGAATCAGCGGCAGCATCGCGCTTCGACAGCGTGCGGCGGGCGGTGCAGCAGGCGCCCGAGGCTGCCCGCGAGACTGCGGCCGCACCACGACAGCCCACGAGATGGGTCACCACGGTCGACCTCACCGATTCGCCGCCCCGAGACTCGCCGCCCCGGCCCTCGCCTCCACGGCAGCCTCCGCGGCAGCAGCCGTCGCCACAGCAGCAGCCGTCGCCACAGCAGCAGCCGCCGCCACAGCAGCAGCCGCCGCCACAGCAGCAGCCGTCGCCACAGCAGCAGCCGTCGCCACAGCCGCCGCCGTCGCCACAGCAGCTCCCGCCGCAGCAGCAGCAGCCGTCGCCCCACCCTCACGACCCGCAAGCGATGGTCAACGGTGGGGGCGCCAGACGTGCGCCCGAGAGATGGGGAGGTGTGGGCAGATTTGCGCCCGAGAGCGCCGCCGCTGCCGAGAGCCCTGCCGCTGCTGAGGGGCCCGCGGCGCCGGAGCCGGAGCCGTGGAGTGGGATCATGAGGGTCGACGGGCGGGTGTACCGACGCAACGTTGCGCACTTTGCCGCGGTTCGCGCTTGCAACACTTGCCTCTCCTCCCCTCCCCACCACCCCACCCCACACCCCAAGGCCCACTCCAGACATGACACTCCAGACATGACTGTGACGTCCTCCTCGCCCTGCCGCACCATCCACCCCCCCCCCCCAAACTCCGCCCCTCACCCCGCCGGCGGGTGTACACCAGGCAAAGTTCATCCAGAGCGAGCAGCGCAAAGAGAGCGGCAGCAGCTCGGCCGCCGCGCCACCGCCGCAGCCGGCCGCCGCTCCAAACGGAGCGCCGGGCCCGCGATTCGCACCGGGCCCTTGTGTGGTGGCAGCCGGGGAGGGCGTGAGAGTTGGGGGCGGGGAGGGCCCTCGCGGCAGCGCGGGCGCCGCCACGCCACGCGCGGCGCCGCTGGCAGGGACCCTCAGAGGCGTGCAACCACGCGGTGCAACAGACCGCCCCCCCGCCCCTCGACCCTCTGCCAGAGGCGTGCCACTCTCCGCCGCTATAGGCGCACCCCCGTCGGCGCAAGGCGTTCCGTTTGCGGAGGCGCCGCGTGGCGCGCCTCCCCCCAGCCTCAGCCCAGCGCGGCGAGGCCACCCGCCCGCGTCCGGTGGGTACCGGAGCTGTCTCGGTGGTGCGCCGGGGGCGGGGATGCCGCGGCCGTCCGACAGCTTCGCCGCGCCGTTCCCGCACGCCCCGATGAGTGCTGCTCCCCCGCCACCCGTCGGCCATCCCCCGGCCTATGGAGGAGGGTACGTCGGCCGCGGTGCGCTGCCCCCAGCCCTACCCACGCCGGCGCTCTGGCCCCCACTTGTCCCGCCGACGACGCGCCTTCCCCCCCCCCCCCCTCAGCCGAACTGTATCTCGAATAGCCCTTGCCCTACCCCTCACCCCTCCCGCGACCCGTAGCCCTCACCTCCCGTGCCGCAGGCATGCCCCCCGCCGGCGGGGCCTTCTTCGGAGCTGAGATGAGACCGCTCGGCCTTGCGCCGCAACACGTGGCTACGGCGACACCGATCAACCTCGTGCCGCCCGGCGTCGTGGGGAGGCGCCCGCCCCCGCCGCACGCCCAGCCAAGCACGCCGCAGCACGCGCCGGCAGCGCGTGTGGTGGGCGGCGTCGGCATGCCACCGGGAGGGAGCGCCTGCTGGTGCCCCTCCTCGGCCAGCAACGGCGGCATGCCCAACGCCGCGGCCGCCGCCGCGAGGCAAGCGATGTGGCCGCCACTGCGAGGCCCCCCGCAGGCTCACGGTGGCCAACCACTGCCGCCACACCAGACACTGCATGGGCGTGACTGGTGAGAGACTCAGAGGGGAGCTGGGCCTCGCGACACAGTGATCTTGATGTGATGTCCTGTGCCCTCCCGCCGTTCTCCCGGGAGTTGTACCATCGTTTATGTGAGACCTTGGGGAGAGCGCACTACACGTGGGTACTAAGATCTAAGTAATTAGGGAGGATCATACTCTAGTCAGACCAACGTCACGCAGGGAGTGGGGTGTGTGGGTGGTTGCTCACCCACGCCAGGGGCACCACCGGGCCGGTGCTTGCACTCAGCCGCAATCTCAGCAATTGGTGTCGGCGTTGACTATGAGTATGACAGAGAGAAGCATCAGCGACGCCGCGGGCGCGGCATGCTTTTCTGCCCGTCCGTGCCGCCGCGAGCCAGCGCCACCAGCGGCGCGATGCCGCCCGCCTTCACGATTGCCACCCGATTGTCGTCGTTCCCGGCGAGGCTCCCCAGCAGTACCGCGCAGCCTGATACTTCTGTCCGTTCGTGAACCCCCATGACGAGAACGACCAACGGTACGCACCGGCCGCCTGGCCGAAAACGTGGGTTCGAATTCGTAGGAGGCACCTAGAGCAAAATTGAGCCCGCTCAGGTGTGAAAAATATATAAGAGGGTCGACTTGCCGAGCTCGGTGCGGCCGGCGCCGCCCCGGCGCCGCGGGCGAGACGACATTGTTTTGTTTACAGTAGGATGTGAGGGCGTGGTTTGTTTTGAGTCTTACTACGTGCGTACGATTACGAGTGTCGAGTGACAGCGAGGAGTGGGACTCGCGTCGGCACAACGACCCCCCCCGCCCCGGCCCCGGCCCCACTGCCCACACGCGCGCCCCGCGCGGCGCCGGCCACCTCCACACGGACACGCACGGGGAGGACGGGCCCACGCGGCACGCGCCTCGCTCTGACCCCGCTCCCGCGTCCCGCGTCGTGAAAAAAGCGCGCCGCGTACAGAGGAGCCGCCTCGGTCAGCACATCCGTCACCCACACCCGCGCTCAAGCCTCCATGCTCCAACAGCAACACATACATATTTTCGCATGCATGTAGAGCCGTACACATGGTACACAATGAGCGGCAGCGTGGTGACCTGGCGCGCGCTGAGGCGGAACTGGCCGCGTGGGAGACGGAGAATGTCGCCAAGGCGGGCGCAGGCCACCGCCTAAAGGTGGCAGCGCTGCAGGCGGCGAGCGTTGCGGCGGCGGCGCGCGAGGCGAAGAAGGAGCATGCGCACGCGATCGCAATCGGCGCCATTCCGACTATCATGCGGCGCCCTGGGTGTGCGGTTCATGCCAACTGCACTCCAAGTGCCCCCCGGACTGGCGCGCACTGGCACTAAGACTAACAGAGGTTCAGAGGTTCAAAGGTACCCCACTTCCCACACGCACGACACTGGGCACGGGTGTCGTGCGAAAAAAGAATTTTGGAACAAAACTCCCTCGCACGACACTAGGCACGGGATAGTGCCAGTGCGCGTGCCTAGTGTCGTGCGAAAAAAAATTTATAACCGACGAATACAAAATCCCTCTCGCGCCACAGGCACAGCCCACACTACTCACTAGGCACGGGAGTCGGGACTGGCGCGCACTGGCACTAACACAGGCGAAAAAAGCGAGGCTTTGAGTCGCGTCCGCCTCAGTAATCGTGCTACCCATCAAAACAAGACACTCCAACTGCTCAAGAGCTCACGCAACTGGCTCACGCGGCCGCCCGCCTGCGCACCCTCCTCACGCCGAGGCTGACTAGCGCCTCGTCGCACCTCTCCGCCTGCCTCTCCACCCCCTCCTCCGCCGTCTCTCGAGCGAGCGCCTGCAGCGCCGCAACGCCGCCGACCTGGTGCCACTGCTCAGCGCACGCAGACGAGGAGGCTGCGAGGGCGAGGAGGGCGTTGATGCTGTCTCTGCGCCAGCCATTTCCCTCGGGCTGGTCCAGCCGCGAGAGGAGCAGCGAGAGGCAAGTGTCGTCAGCGGGGAGGTCGGGACGGGTGCTGGCCAGGTACACAAGGGATACGGCAGCAGCGAGCTTGCAGTCGTCCGAGGCGCTTGCCTCCTGCGTGAGAGTGGAGAGGACCGCCACACCGCCAGCCTCGACGACGCCCTCGTGAGTGCCAGGTGCTACCTCAATCATGTTCCACAGCGCTCCCGCCGCTTCCTCCTTCTGCCCCTCATTCCCGTCGCGAGCCAGCGCGATAAGGACCTCCACGCCGCCGGCCGCGGCTATCGCCACGCTGTTGTCGTCGTTGATAGCGAGGCTCCACAGCGCTCCCGCCGCGTTCTCCTTCTGCCTCTCATTCCCGTCCCGAGCCAGTGACACGAGGACCTCGATGCCGCCGGCCGCGGCTATCGCCACCTTGTGGTCGTTGTTGTCAGCGAGGTTTGCTAGCACTGCCGCCGCACGCCCCTTCTGCGCCTCATTCCCATCGCGAACCAGCGACATGAAAACCTCAATCCCGCCGGCCGCAACAATCGCAGCCACGTTGTCGTTGTTGGCAGAGAGGTTCCTCAGCGCCCCCGCCGCAAACTCCTTCTGCCTCTGATTCCCGTCGCGAGCCAGCGACACGAGGACCTCGATGCCGCCGGCCGCGGCTATCGCCACGCTGTTGTCGTCGTTGTGAGCGAGGTTCCTCAGCGCCGCCGCCGCAAACTCCTTCTGCCTCTCACTCCCGTCGCGAGCCAGCGGCACGAGGACCTCAATGCCGCCGGCCGCAACAATCGCCGCCTCGTTGTCTTCGTTGATAGAGAGGCGGCACAGCGCCCCCGCCGCTTCCTCCTTCTGCGCCTCATTCCCGTCGCGAGCCAGCGACACGAGGACCTCGATCCCGCCGGCCGCGGCAATCGCCACGCTGTTGTCGTCGTTGATAGCGAGGTTCCACAGCGCCCCCGCCGCACGCTCCTTCTGCGCCTCATTCCCATCGCGAGCCAGCGCGACCAGGGCCTCGATGCCGCCGGCCGCAGCGATCGCCACTCTGTTGTCGTCGTTCATAGAGAGGTTCCACAGCGCCCCCGCCGCACGCTCCTTCTGCCTCTCATTCCCATCGCGAGCCAGTGTCACGAGGACCTCGAGGCCGCCGGCCGCAGCGATCGCCACTCTGTTGTCGTCGTTGTAAGCGAGGTTCCACAGCGCCCCCGCCGCATGCTCCTTCTGCCTCTCATTCCCATCGCGAGCCAGAGCGACTAGGGCCTCGATGCCGCCGGCCGCCGCAATCGCCACCCGGCTCTCATCGTCGTCGCGGGCAAGCTCCTGGAGCGTTTCCGCGACGTCCGCCTTCTCGTCCTCGTCTCCAACCCGCAAGAGAGAGACGAGCGCCTCCATCCGCCTGCCGCCGGCCTCCTCTCCCGACAGCCGCCTGAGCTCTCCGAGCGCAGCAGCGTGCAGCTCCGAGGAGGCATCGCCAGCGGTCTCCACAAGCCGCGCGAAGGCACCGCGCGGCGCGCAGATCAGGGACCACCGCTTGCACACGGCCGCGTGGCGCAGGCCCGTCTTCTCGAGCACGCACGGCGCAAGGTCCGGGTCCGCAAGGACGTCGGTCGCGACGGCGGGCGGAGGGCTGTGGTGCGCGAGGAGCGCCTCGGCCCTCCTGTTTGCAGCGGCGCTGTCCCGCATCGCGCCGGCGGCGATCGCGATTAGGGCATCGGGCGGAAGAGCGGTGAGCCGCAGCTCGTAGCGGGCGGAGGCGAGCATTTCGCTATCGAATTCTTTTTCGAACCTGTGTGCTGTGCGAGAGAGTTCTTTTTGTTGAATTCTTTTTGCGAGAGGGTTGAGTGGCTGTCGCCGGCTCGCGACTCGGTACCGCCGGCGAAGCCGTCCTCGTCGAGTGCGTCTCGCCACGGCGGGGCGCACTCAAGGACGGTGCCGGGCGGGATGCGGCTCCGAATGGCGAGGCTCCGCAGCGCGGGCTGGCATACGTCGCAGAGGCCTCGTCTTCAACAAGACTCGAATAGCTCTACGAGCAAACCTTCAACTCGCGTGCGCGCGCCGCCGAGCCCGCGGCGGGCGCGCTGCGGCCGCACGCCAACCTACGTTATAATGCCCATGGCATGCGGCCTAGAACGAGTATCACGCACCTCGACTCGCGCACCAGCCAGCCAGGCCTGAGGGCCTGGTGCTGAGCTCATCATCTGCATGAGAGCGAGGGCAAGCGCTAGGGACAGGTCCCTAGCCCGAGAGGGAGCTTCCCACAGACACCTCACTTGACCCCACACGTGCTCTCGTCCGTGCCCCGCTGGCCGGCGAGTTTGCTAGAGGCGGAGCAAGCCTGATCTAGCCTCGCATGTCACTTCGCGGTGACGACGGTGGCGGGCAGCGGCACCTATGGCTTCTCTGATGGCGTGGGCGGCGCGGCGCAGTTCGCCAATCCATGCGGCGTCGCCATCAGCCCTGACGGTAGCGCGTTGTTTTTGGCAGACTTCAGCAACCGGGCGAGGCCGAGCGAGCCGGCGTGGTGGGAGCCGGGCGCGGCGCTGGCTCCATGAGCGTGCGCGCCGGCGGTCAGCAGGACGAGGCGGGGAGAGGACGTTGAAGCCAGCCGCACGCGCAGCAGCGACAGGGCTGCGTCGAGAGCAGCCAGTGGCGCCGAGGCTGCCCGGCCTGCCGACACCGGTGCTGCGAAGGAGAGGCCGCCGAAGCGCTCGTTGCCGCCTGCCGGGCTCGGGGATGCCTCGTCGAAGCCTCTCGCTCCTCGACTCGAGCCCAGGACGACGAGCGAAGCCGCGGCGGTGACAGGTGTCTCGCTCCTCTCCCACTCGGTGACGTACAGGTGCGTCGCCCTCGCCGCCGGCGCAGCCCCCAACGACGCCTTGAGCGCACGCGACTCGAAGCCGGCCAGGCGCACGCCCGCCGAGGCGGCGCCGCTGGCGATGACCACCCCAACCGCCCCGCCGCCCTCCCGCTCCGCCACCGGCCATGCCGTGCCGCTCGCATCCGCCAGCGTCGCCTCGCCCACAGAGAAGGGCAGCCGCGTCTCGCCCTCCCCTGCCTCGGCGAGCAGCGAGGACAGGTGCAGCGAGCCGTCGAGGTCGGCTGGGTGGACACGAGCGCCCTCCTTGCGCGAGCGGCGGCACAGCCGGCCGACGGCGGCGGCGGCGGCGCGCGAGACGGCCGCCACCTCGAGCGTGCGGTACCGAGGGCCGTACTCGAGGCCGACCGAGCGGAGAAGCGAGTAGAGCGAGGCGGCGTCGACCGCCTCGCCGCACGAGGCGCGAGCCGCGGCGAGCGAGAGGCCAGGGAGCGGGCCCGACGCGGCCGACGCGTCGCCGGCGCAGTGAGCCGTCGACGCGTCGCCGCCGCCCTCGTAGGTCACCTCGAACCGGTCCTCGATCACGCCCACCCTCACCCGCGCCTCGCTCAGGCCGCCGTCCAGCACGAGCGGCTGCAGGAAGAGGACGCGCCGCAGCGACGCGCCTCCGCCGCCGCCGGAGAGGGCGACGCACACCACGCGAGCCATCTCGAGGTAGGCGGCGGCGGGGAAGACGACGCGGCCCCGCACGACGTGGTCGGCGACGAGGGCGAGGAGGGGCCCCCCCGCCGGCCGGCGAGGAGAAGGCGTCGGCCTGCCGCCCATCGGCGTCCGCCTCTCGCCGCTGGAGGAGCGGGGGCGGGGCGCCTCGCGCCACGCGTAGCGGCAGCGGGCAAAGACGAGCGGCGGCGGGCTGCACGTGCTGAGAGAGGGCGGCGCCGCCTCGAGCACGGCGTGGGCGATGGTGCCGCTGTACCCAAACGCGCTCACCCCGACCATGCCCTCCCCTCCCCCCCCCGCCCGCCGTGCGAGCCGGGTGGAGGTGGCGACTGGCGCTGTGACCACGCTCGCGGGCAGCACCTATGGCTTCTCTGATGGCGTGGGTGGCGCGGCGCAGTTTCGCAACCCACTCGGCGTCGCCATCAGCACCATCGGCAGCGTTCTTCTGGTTTGCACGGACGACTCCCTCCGCCAGGTCTACGTTTCGGCGCCTCCTCCGCCTCCCTCCTTCGCGCCGATTGTGGTGCCGCCCTCGACCCTCGCGGCCGACCTCGGAAAGGTGTGCGGCGACCCCGCTCTTCCCGACGGCAAGGTGCGTGCGGTCCGAGCAGACCAGTTTCGGACCATGTTCGGCATCGGCATGAAGGAGCGCGACGCCGCCCGGCCGCCGAGGTCACGGTGCTCGAACCCGATCTCGCCACCTTCACCGCCCTCGTCCGCTACCTCTGCACCGACCAGCTCGACCTCGGCGAGGAGGGGGGCGGCAGAGCGCAGCGCGCGCTCGACCTGCGGCAGCTGGCGCAGATGTACCAGGTGCCGCGCCTCGAGCTGCTCTGCGCGCAGGCGCTGCAGGAGAGCGTCGGGCCGGCGAGCGCCGTGCCGCTGCTCGAGGCGGCGCACACGATGGGCGACGGGCGGCTCCTCGCGCAGTGCCGCCGCTGCGTGGCGGACCACGCCGCCGAGGTGCGGGCGAGCGGCGGCGTGGAGCAGCTGCGCGACTTTGGCGTGGCAAAGGGGCTGCTCGGCGACGCGCTCGACTAGGTGGCGGAGATCAAGGGGACGGTGGCAGCGCTCACAAGGGGAGCACGCAGGGCTGAGGTGCGGTTTTCACCTTCTTTGTGGCCGACCGCAGCGGCGTGCAAAGCCCAGAGAGCCGTACGTACGTAGAGCGTCGTAGGTGGCGCCCGTCGGCGGTGCGCCCAGTGCTTGCCATTTACTGGTATAGCCCACCAGAACAATCAAACACTCTACGGCCAAAACAATCAAACGGTGGTAAGATTTACCACGACTTCTGAGGCAAAATCTGACAGAAATCGGAGAAATCGGCAAAATACCGGGTATTTCCCAGGTATACCCGGGTTTTTCCAGGTATACCCGCAAAATACCGGGTATTTTGCCGATTTTGCTGAATTTGGCGGCAAACCAGCCTCAGACTCGGCTCAGAGCTCGAAAAAATGATGATTCCACGGAGTTTCGTATTTTACCATACCACTCTCTGCTCATACCATACCACTCCCCAGGAGAATCAAATAAGTGGTAAATACCACTCATTTACCAGTAAATGGCAAGCACTGGGGTGCGCCGCCGGCCGGCGCCGCCCGGCGCCGCGGGCGAGACGACATTGTTTTGTTTACAGTTGCATGTGAGGGCGTGGTTGGTTTTGAGTCTTACTACGTGCGTACGATTACGAGTGTCGAGTGACAGCGAGGAGTGGGACTCGCGTCGGCACAACGACCCCCCCGGCCACACGCGCGCCCCGCGCGGCGGCCGGGGCGCCGGCCACGCACCCACACGGACACGCACGGCGAGGACGGGCCCACGCGGCACGCGCCTCGCTCCGACCCCGCTCCCGCCGCGTCGTGAAAAAGCCGCGTACAGAGGAGCCCTCGTCAGCATCCGTCACCCTCGCTCAAGCCTCCAACAGCAACACATACATTTTCGCATGCATATAGAGCCGTTACACATGGTACATGAGACGGCGCCGCTGCCGAGACCTCAGTAGACCACTTGAGCCGGCTCGTACTCGAAAGACCTCGTCTCGAGCGGGAAGGTCGCCGTCGCGCCCTCGGGCGGCTCGAACGCCTCCGCGCGCCCGCCCAAGTGCTTGGCAAGGAACTCCTCCGTCCGGCCGTTGAAGTCGATCCGGTTGGCCGGGCGCGCGAAGCCGTGCCCCTCGTCCGGGTAGAGCACGTACTCGACAGGGATCCGCTTCGCCGCCATCGAGAAGGCGATCTGGTCGGCCTCCGCTTGCTTGACGCGCGGGTCGTTCGCCCCCTGCCCGATGAGCGCGGCGCGCGGATCTTGTCGACGTGGAAGAGCGGCGAGATCTTCTGGTTGAAGTCGGCGTCGTTGTCGACGTCGCCGATCTGGGAAAGGGGGGGGGGGGCGTGGGGTGGGGGGGGGGGGTCCTCCTCCTCCTCCTCTCCTCTCTTTTTCCCCTCCCCCGCCTTGAGCAGCATGTCGTTGCGCAGCGGGCCCCAGTAGGGCGGGATGCTGTCGAGCAGCGTCTTGATGTTGGACGGCCCGACGATGTCCACGCCGCACGCGTACAGCTCCGGGGTGAAGGTCATGCCGGCCAAGGTGGCGTACCCGCCGTAGCTGCCGCCGAAGATGCAAACCCTGTCCTCGCGCGCAATGCCCTCCCTGACGGCCCACGCCACCGCGTCGGACAGGTCGTGCTGCATGTCGCCTATGCGAGGGAATGGCGGGGCCCCCACGGGCGCCTCAGTCCGGCCCTCGCGGGGAGGGGGGCAAGGGGGTGGGGGGATCGGGGCGGGGGGGGGGGCGGGGGGGGGGGGGCTCTCGCTTTCGCGGGTACTAAGCAAACCGACGCCCCACTGCTTGTCCCCCTTGTGCAGAAAGCTCTTGCCGTAGCCGCTCGATCCGCGGTAGTTGACCTGCAGCACCGCGTAGCCGCGGTTCGCCATCCACTGCGCCATCGCGTTGAAGCCCCACCCATCCCGCGCCCACGGCCCTCCGTGGACCAGCAGCACGAGCGGCGTCGGCGCGTCGCTGTCGGCGCGCGTGAGGTATGCCACGAGCTCCAGCCTACTCTCGGGAAATCTCGGGTCATCTCGGCTAACCTCGCCTCCTCTCGAGGCAGGCGAGACGAGCTCGAGCGCCCGTCGCGCGCGGTGATGCGCACGTCCTCCATCTTAGCGAGCTTGTACTCGAGCAGCGCGGGCTGCGACACGAAGAGCGGCGACACCGTGCCGCCCGCTTCCTTGTCGTACACCGCGTACTCGGTCGGGCCGTCGTCGCGCCGGAAGGCGACGATCCTACGCGGTCGCCAACATCAGGGCGGGAGGACGGTCTCATGCCGTGTACTCAGAGCACCGCGTGAGTACGAGGGGCGCGAATGCAGTGAGTACACAGCGGAAGCGTGTCCTCTCGGGCGCTGTTGGCATGCAAGAATACGTCTTCCGCTTCTAGGCTCTTCGGCCCCTCTGTGCTGCCAGGTATGGGGAGAGAGGGGGGGAGAGACGGGGAGGTCTTGCGCTTCTAGGCGCCACGAGCCAGGTCTGCTCGTCACGGGTGCGCGAGGCGATGCTGACCTCGGCACCGCCGGGCGCCGCCGCCTCGAGCGCCCTGAAGTCGGCCTCGAGCTCCTTGTCGAAGAAGCGCCGCTCGGTGCGCGCGTAGTTGAAGGAGACGGCGCGCACCTTGCAGAGGCGGAGAGGGAGGCGGCGGAGGGAGGGGAGGCTTGTCTCATCGTCCGTCTCATCGCACCTCCTTGGTGGAGGAGAGGATGCGGCTGATCTCGGCTGATCTCGGCTGATCTCGGCTGATCTCGACTGATCTCGGCTGATCTCGGCTGATCTCGGCTGATCTCGACTGATCTCGACTGATCTCGGCTGATCTCGGCTGATCTCGGCTGATCTCGGCTGCCTCTCGGCCGCCTCTCGGCTGCTCTCGGGCACTCTCGGCCCGCCCCGCGCACCTCCTTGGTGTCGTCGTCGAGAAGAATGCCCGCCGTGTTGCTTTTCGGGTCGTAGGCAATCGTCTCGAGCTCCGCGCCCGTCGTCGCGTCCAGCCGCACCAGCGCCTGCGTCTCGCGGGGGGAGATTTGGGGAGATATGGGGAGATTTGGGGAGGTATCGTCGCACCAGCGCCTGCGTCTCGCGGCCGAGCGTCGAGAGGGCGAGGACGGACTTGCCGTCCCTCGCAAACTCGACCATGTTGCCCTCCTCGCCGTACGGAAACGTGACCAAGTCGCGCCACTCATCGCCCGCCGAGTCGCGGACACGGACCGTCGTCGAGCTGTCGGCCTACTCTGAGGTCAGCTCGGGTCAGCTCGGGTCAGCTCGGGAGAGGCGGAACCGCCGTCGAGCTGTGAACAGCGCCTATTCACACCTCCAGCTGTGAACAGGGTCAGCTCGGGAGAGGCGGAACCGCCGTCGAGCTGTCGGCCGGGTTCATCACGATCGCCTCGCGGACCTCGAACGACTCGTCCTCAGTGCCTAGAACAGAAGCACGACAGGCGTAGAGAGAGGTGTGTGAGCCGCACGTCGAAAGACGCGTCGTCGGTGCCCCAGCCGAGCACGCCGCCGGGATTCTCCGTGTCGAGGGTCAGCTCGCCTGGAAGGGGCGAGAAGGGTCGCCGGCAGGCAGACAGGGAGGCAGGCAGGGAGGCAGGCAGGGAGGCAGGCAGGGAGGCAGGCAGGGAGGCAGGCAGGGAGGCAGGCAGGGAGGGAGGGAGGGAGGGAGGGAGGCAGACAGGCAGGCAGGCAGGCAGGCAGGCAGGCAGGCAAAAGGGGTTCACCGGTCGCGAGCGTGCACCGGTACATGTCAAACTGAGTCGGGTCGCGCTTGTTGATGCCGACGAGGAGCTGATCCGGGAACCTCTTATTCGTCACCACGTTCTGCGCCTTTGCGCCAGGAAACGGGGTCAGATCGCGCGCGGCGGAAGATGGCGTCGTCGCGTCGATGCCCCAGAGATGAAAATTCTCGTCGCCGCCGTCGTCCTGCATGTAGAGGAGCGTCTTGGAGTCCTCCGCCCAGAAGGCCTGCCGAATGCCGCGGTACCGGTCTTTCGTGATGACGCGATCGTCCGAAGCGCCGACGGTGCGGCACCAGACATTGAGGACGCCCTCGTCGGGTCGGAGGTAGGCGAGCAGCTTCCCGTCCGGGCTGATTATTGGAGAGGCGTATTCGGGGTTGCCAAAGAGCACTGACTTGGGGATGATGGCGTCGGAGGTGGTCGCAGCCATGCGAACGGCGGCGCGGGTTGCGGCATTGGAGGCACCATCAGCGACAGCGGTGGCCGACCGTGAGACGGCGTGCGTCCGAATCGGCAGCGTGCGATGCGTCCACGCGCAGCCCACGATGAGAGGGAGGTGGAGCAGCATCGCGTCGGCAGGCTCGGCACAGAGGCTCGGCACAGAGCTCGGCACAGAGGTCGCGTCGGCAGGCAGGGAGGTGTCCACAGCGTGGGGCAGGCAGTTTTTTCTTTTTCAGTGTTGTAGCTCTTACGTACATTCCCGTAGGAGACTCTGCTGACAGGGTTTGCGATGAGGAGCGACCCGAAGGGTTTCTCGGAGGTTTTTCGATCGTGGCGAATTCTTTTTGCTGAAGCCAAGGGCGCCGCCCTCCCACCAGTGCGCACATGCAGCCAGCCACGGAGCCAGCCACGGAGGAGGCGTCCGTGACGGACTCGGACTCCGCCTCTGTCCCGCCCAGCGTCAAGACGACGCCCAGCAGCAGCAGCGCCGAGCGCATCGAGATTGGGGAGGGCCCTCGCACGCCGCAGCGCGTCGTGGCCTCGTACACTTGCCGCGGCATGTCGCTGCTCTTCCGCATCTCGCTGCTGGCGGCGGGCGTCTTCTTCGGCCTCGTCGTGGTGGTCGCCCTGCCCATGCTCCTCACCGACGCGTACGTCCAGATCTCGTGGCCGCTGGCGTACGGCGCGCTGTTTGCGTTCCTGTCGCAGCTGTCGTCGCTGGGCAAGGGGATCCAGAAGATCGGGGTGCAGTCGCTGCCGGAGATGTCCTTCCGGCGCGACGTGCTGCTAAAGTACGCAAAGTCACCCACCTGGCGGATCGGCTTTCTGATGGACATCAGCGGCGCTGTCTTTGGGCTCGCGGCGCTGACCATCCTACCCATCTCGATCGCGCAGCCCATCTTTTGCAACGGGTGCGGGCTGCGGGCCACCCGCCTCGCGCCGCCCGCCGCCGCACGCCCCGCACCCGCCTGCGGCCCCCTCCCCTCCCTCCCCCCGCCGCCTCACCCCTCCGCCACACACAGCCACACACCACGCACCAGTCCCCGCACCCTGGCCCCGCGCCGCCATACCCCCGCCTCCGCCACACCACCACCATCACCGCCACCACCACCGCCGCCGCCGCCGCCACCACCGCCACCACCGCCACCACCGCCACCGTCGCCACCGTCGCCACCGTCGCCACCGTCGCCACCGTCGCCACCGTCGCCGTCGCCACCGCCGTTGCCACCGCGGCTCCCCCGGGTCGCCAGCCCCAACCCGCGCCCCACCCCCCGCCCCAACCCCCCGCCCCACCCCTCCCCCCCGCCCCTCCTGCCCTCGCGTCGCCACAGGCTGGTCTTGCTCGCCCTGTACTCGCACCTCTACCTCGACGAGCAGCTCGGCGCGCGAGATCGCCGCGAGATCGCCGCGAGATCGCCGCGAGATCGCCGCGAGATCGCCGCGAGATCGCCGCGAGGTCTCTCTAGGCGCGCGAGAGTGGATCTCGATTGGGCTCTGCTTCGCCGGCACCGTGCTGCTCGCCGTCACGCTCGTCCCTCGGGACTGGACCCACACCAACCTGCGGTGGATCCAAGTCAAGCTCGGGCGCGCACCCCTTCCACCCCCCCCCCCCCCCCGGGCCACACCCCACCCCGCCCACGGACACGTCCACTGACACGTCCACCGACACGTCCACCGACACGCCCACCGACCCACATCCCCCCTGCCCGCCCGCAGGCTCGCTGTCTGCGTCGCGCTGCCGCTCCTCGCCGCCGCCGAGATCGGAGGCCGCCTCGCCAAGCGAGGCGCAGATGCCCTCGAGATTCCCTCGAGACGCCCCGACATTTCCTCGAGACTGCCTCGAGACTCCCCGAGATCGGCCGCAGCCAGCCTCGGCAAGCGAGGCGTTGCCCTGGCACTGCGGGGTGGCCGCGTCTGGAGCAACGAGCGGGGGCAGCGCTCCAACGGAGTGATGGGACTCCTCCGCTACTTGCCTGGGGCTAGTCCCTCGAGATTCCCTCGAGATTCCCTCGAGATTCCCCGAGATCGACCGAGGGACGGGCTCGTCAGCTACCTAGCCCGTGGCTAGGCCGCGTCTGGACCGACGAGCGCGGGCAGTACTCTGCCGTCGGCCGCTTCTCCGGCCACTCGACGCCGAGCACCGGACCGCTAGAAGCGGCATGCCTGCGCGTACTCTTGCACTCTTGTCCCCCGACTGGCGCTCGAGGGGGACGCGTCCTCCGCCGAACTCGACCGTATACTCGACCGTGCTAGCTGTACTCCTGTCGCTCGTATTCCTGCGATGCCACGAGCACGAGCACACGCTGCACGCTGCCCTCTCCCCGCCCTGACGTCGTGCATGTGACGTCCCTCGTGTCCTCACGAGCACACGCTGCACGCTGCCCTCTCCCCGCCCTGACGTCGTGCGCGTGACCTCCCTCTCGCGCAGGCCCCGACCGCGCCGCAGTCGAGCTCTTCGCCGGGCTGCAAGCGGGCATGTGCATCGGGGTTGGGCTACGCCAGCATCGGGAGGGACGGGTCCACGACACGTCCGAGACATGTCCGAGACACGTCCCTCAGGTTGGCAACGCCTGCATCGCCACCGGACTGCAGTCGACGTCGCCCTCGTGGCGCCGGCAGGCGCGCGCAAGCGGCCTCGCCCTCACCGCCCCGCCCTCACCGCCCCGCCCTCACCGCCACCCTCACCTCACCTCCGCCCTCACTCTCGCCCTCACCTCCGCCCTCACTCTCGCCTCACCGCCGCCCTCACCGCTGTTTCGTGGAAGACTCCCCCTCCCCCCCCCCTCCCCCCCCCTCCTCCCCATTGAAGAGAAAGCATGCACTTCCATCGAATGCCATCATAAGGGCGTAATCTGTTTCTTATCCCTCCTCCTGTCCCAGGTGAGCGGCGTCAACATCATGTGGCACCTCTTCCTCTCTGGCGCCTTCGTGGTCTGCGGCATCCTCCTCAACGGCTCGCGCCCCGCGAGATCGCGCCGAGATCGCGCCGAGATCGCGCCGAGATCGCGCCGAGATCGCGCCGAGATCGCGCCGAGATCGCGCCGAGATCGCGCCGAGATCGCCTCACCTTGGCCGCGACGCCGCGGAGGAGCCCGCGCCGCCCGACGCCGTCGTCCCACCCCCCTCCCCCTCCCCCGTCTCGTGCCCTCCCCCTCTCCGCCAGGCTCGCACCCGATCTTCGCCAACGGCGGCTACCAG